GTGTCGCGAAATAGATAAAAATCTTCAACTTGTTTGGTAAAATACGAGCAGGTCCTTTATTTTTCGTATTCACATCATTATAATTTATCTTAGTAGTAATCATCGAAAAAGCGTACGAGCCAGACGGTCTAAAGCTAGCTGCATCCAATCCATTAAATACATATCAACTATGTACATACATATGTATGTATATGTAGATGTATAAACTGCAAAAGTCACTTCTCTTCTTCACAAGCCACTGCATTATTTATCGCACATTGCTGCTCTGTGCAGCGAAGCATTTGCGAATGTCCTGATTATGTAAGTAGAAAATTGGCTCAAATTATGCGCCATATTATGAAATTATGAAGTGCATTGTTTACAGCGAAATGTAATTACGGCAATTGTATTGTTGCTTTGCCATATTGCTTTGCACCGCCTACACCACCATTTTTTGTAGGTAAATTCCAACAATAAAATCCGAATGCTAATGTCTACTCTCACAAGTGAACAATCAGTCAACCAAAAGAAGAGCAATGCAAATAATATAACTACGCGTCGAGTGTTTCTGAGCGGCATAGCAGCAGCATGTATGTGTGTGTGTGTGCAGCGAACAACAACAACAACAACAACAACATAAACAGTTAGCAGCAAAGTAGGCTTTACAATGCGCTAATAACGTTTATTAAATGCGTACGAGATTTTAATCATCTACGCCGCAGCCCACACAACACACAGCCACACACATAAATACTCGCAGAAATTTTTTGCCATTTATCCACCGCCAATGACAAATTATGCAAATCCTTGTCAAGCGCATTACAAGTAATGCCAACAACAATGAGTAAATAATGTGACAACAAGTACAACTGGAAAATTAATCGCTGCAAATTAAAATGATGACAATGTCCCATATAGAACATTCGCCCCCGCCACCCGCCACCCGTACTGTAATTCTTCGTGCATTCCATTCTTTTTCGCATGCTGGCACACTTAAGTGGCTCTCAAACGGAACTGAATGATTTACATACTTCTTCACATTTTATTTACCTTAATGATTAATGCTAAATGAGCTGCTATTTAATATTGAATTTTTAATTTACAAATGTATGTAGGTATGTGCGTATGTTTATATTATGTAGCTTCGCTGCTATTAAAAACTACAATTGTAATTCTGGCGGGAAGTTAATATTATGCTCGCCATTAAGTCGTCCAACATCACGCGCCTGTTGCTCCGCTCTTCGTTCCTCTTCCTGGCCGTCGAGCCCGAGGCCGAGACGCTCAATGAATTTTGCTGCGCGATAACCATTTGTCTGCAAAGAGATACATATTTTAAGATTTAAAATGGTATAGAAAATTACTTTAATAGTTATGTAATTATTCCTTCCAACCTCATAGAAGAGTGCTCGTCGCTTTTGACTTATTTCTGGATCAAAATCCCAATCGGTGCGTACATGCGTTATTGGTTCACCAGCCACATTATTCTGCAATGTCTCCGTAATTAACCGGACAATAAAGCCTTCACTATAGGGCAAGGCGTGCAAAAAAATGGCAACGGCGAGCTGCAGTCAAGAAGAGAAATAAAAGTTT